GTAGGTTAAGCGCAGACTTATCCTTGCTTAGGTTTCAGGATAGAATACCCCAGAATCGAACTCTGGTGTCTTTATCTACGGAAAAAGACTAAACCGGCAGCGCGTGTTAGGCGCAGACTTATCCCTGCTTAGGATTCAGGATAAACTTCCTAGACTGGAATTCTAGTGTCTTCTTTAATCGGTGAAAGACTAAACCAGCAACGCGTGTTAGGTGTTGACTTATCCCTACTTAGGATTCGGGATAAAATTCCCTGTACCTGTGAGGAACAGATTTTGGGAGTTGAAAAAGGTGGTGTCTTCTCTTGGGGCAAAGACGAACCCAAAATAGGAGAGGAAGAATTTTATATTCTATCTCCCGACACTAAAGAAGAAGAATTTTATATTCTATCTTCAGCTGGAAAGGAGACTCGAGGTGGGATCTCCACCCTCAGAATTCGGAAAGATGAAACTAGGAGTGGGACCTCTACTTCGAGAATCGAAAAATTCGGATAATCCTAACTGTCAGAAGGTTTGATTATCGAACTAAAGGTGAATTTCTCGTTTATCGAGAGTGAATTGTTGTTTTGGTCTTTACTGTAGGAAGGTTTGACCAAGCAGGAGTTTGAGATGACCCTAACTGTAGGAAGGTTTGATCACTCAATTTGAAAGTGGACCACTCGTTCATTGGAGGAATCGAGAGGGGATTTTGATTGTGGCCCCAACTGTAGGTTTGACCTGAAAGCAAAGGGAGTGGAATACAAGTAGCAGTAGAAATACTGGTTTGTACTGGCCACTCGATGAAGGGTTTTGACGTTAAGTAATCAGGACTTAACACGTCAAGCTTTGGAAATTGCCATGAATTGGCGGACAGAAAATTTAGTGGACCCACCGTCAATTGACTTGATCAGTGGGGGATTTTTGTGAGGAAAGATTAATCTGTCAAAAGGATCGAATCTCGTCTCAACAAGATAACTCATGAGAATTAGTGAATTTGATAACAATAATGGAAAACATTCCGACATTTAGAGTTTAAATGTGGATGTTTTACTTATCACTTTTATAGTGATTGGGTTATCCCTAAGAATATCACCCGTGGTATTCTTTCGGGAACTTCCCGATACATGAATAATCCACCCCCAGCTTCCCTTGTGGAACTGGGTCCGACATTGTACTCAGTTACATGACCGGGTTATCCTTAAGAATATTACATATAAAAATTCTCCAGGAACTTCCCGTGAAAGAAATGAAACAGTTTAGACTCATATACATGTTGGAGTATCAGGGAGCAGTTTAACCTCTTATACCGGTCGGAGGATTGAGAAGCAGTTTATACTCTTATACTTGTCGGAGTCTTAAGAAGCAGTTAGGTGCTTTGCCCTTACCACGAGAGGCGAAGTTTGAGTTCAGATGATTAGCCGTCATTAGGTTCCTCTCGGCCTTCTTCCTTCGGAGGAAGCGTTCGGCTTGTTCACCGCGCACCTTCAAGTCTTTCCAAGTGTTAGACGGTGCCATTCCCATTGCCTCCAACACGTCCAATGCGTGGTTATTGTAGCAAGTCTGGAGAATAAACTCCTCAGTGATCGGGTCCTAACAGTTCATCGCATTGTTCCGGAACCTTTTGACGAAGGCGTCGACCAATTCCCCGTCCTTTTGTTTCTCATCGAGCAACGTTCCGATGGATATCTCAGTGTCTTCATCGAAGAAATTAGCGAGGAATTTTGTCTCCATGTCGTCCCAGCTATCCATGCTTCCTGGCTTGAGGCGACGATACCAATCAAAGGCGGCTCCACGAAGAGTGCCAACGAAGGACCGTACCATCAGAGGCTCATTACCAGAGATAACACCCAGGTGCGATTTGAAGTAAATCAAATGCTGCGTGGGTAAACCATTCCCATCAAACAGCGTGAAGTTAATTAGACTGAACTTCGCCGGATAGGGGATTGATTCACATTCTCGTGGGTATGGACAAGGAATGCCCGTCTTCTTCATCTCTTGAGCGGAAATCAACGTATTGATTTTGCTCTCGAGATTTTTAATCTTCAGGTTTTCACCTGAGTCTTCATCAGCATTCTCGTTACCACCCCCTGCATTGACGGGAGAATTATTGGTATTGTGAGCTTCCTCATCTTCCCGATCAATCTGGTTACGACGATTTGGCTCGCCTTGCTGGTTTGTCAGCGCTTGGATTTGCTGGTCATGCATTTATCTCATACTCTGCATGGCCATCTGCATTTCGTGCTTGAAGCTCTCCTGCTGTTTAGCCATGGCTTCTTCGAGCATCTTGGCCACTTGTTCGACGCTTATCATCAGCGACTCGCGAGGTTGTCCCTCGCTGGATACTGTATTATCCGATGCGACCGCAGAGCAGGCATCTGATTCTTCATCTTCTGAAGGAAGTCTTGTCCGAATCCTACCATAAGTTCCTCGTCTGATGGCTCTGGACTACAGACGGGTTACACGCCGGGGTACTTCCGGAATTAACTTGGGATTTTCCTGTGTCGACGTCCCTTTGCTGGTCATAATCATGGTGACCCTCAAAAATTCTCCATCTTTGACTACTCTTCTTCTTCGTCGGAAATGCCTAGGCCTTGGTTTTGGCATTTCGGCATTGAGCCTTTCGAAAACTAAAACTCTTTCAGGGACCGCCTTGATACAGTTGCACTCAGACAATACTGCCCAAATGAGTTTGGAACAGGGGCATTGAGTTTCCAATCCTCGGGGACTCCTCTTCCTGATTTTCCTCATGCTCCCATCACGATAGTACAACTCGTCGGTTTGAAGGTCGGAGTAACCTATCGTGTGTCGGCACGATTTCTCAGGTATAACGTCATCGTCATCAGACGACAACGTTTCCCTCTGAGGACGAACTGCCTTCTTTGGGCTCTCAAGAGTCACGCATCTCGAGACATGCCTTTTTGGGTGTGAATTCTCAGCGTGCTCTTGGACTTCGATGCGCAAATTAGTGCGCGCAGCTGGCTTGAACTCCTTGTCATGTTGGAGGTGACGGCGACCCCCAGCGTGTTGAGTCGTTCGGGGCTTCTTCATCGAGCCCAAATGTTCTTGGACTGGAGCTTTGCCTCTCTCGTCGGGAATTGGACCGAGGCGCTCCAAGACTGACTTTCTCCTTCGGGATGATTCCACGGGATCTCCCGGAGAAGCTATTGGAATTACCGGCGACTTTGGTCGGCTCGCCGGAGGTTGAACCTGCTTCGAAGGCTACACTGATTGTGCCTTAGTCAGAATCGACGCTTCAGACTTCAGCCTCCAAACTTGACGGGTTGGTGGCGGCTTCTTGGCCACTTCCTTCTGTAGCCTTTTACGGGCCTCTTGGACTTGAGCCCGTGCCTGCGCTGACAGTGCGCGGCGCTTGCAAATGCGCTCCTCGTGTTGACGGTTCGTTTGACACAGGACCCATTCGTCTTGGCGGCTTGAGGAGTCGCCATTCATCGATCGTTGAAGGCTGTTTGCCTGTTCTTCAGATCCGCGTTGTAGCGGATTCCGTCGGTGGACTCCAACGCTTTGGAAAATTCTTTGGCCAAACGTTGGCGTCCCCTTTGGCGGGCTCTCTTTGAGAGAGTCACCGCTCCTTTGGTGACGAAGGAATTGGTAGGAACCAGCTTGATCTGGTTGGAGGTTGGTGGAGCCTCACCCGACGCAACTTTGGCGTCAATCGGGATGAGATCGTCGTTGGTAGCTTCAACTTCTTCGTACCAACGTACCTTTCTCCTGGAGGAGAACTTCTTGGACTTGCGGGGGGAGGTCGATCCGGACGAGGATGACAGATACTCCTCGAACTTTTGTTGGTCGAATTCATACTCGACCTCCTCTTCGACCGGGATTGAGATCCGCGGCTGCGACGCATCGATCTCGGTAGCGAGATCGGTGGCTCCCACTGTGGTCGCCAGATTGTTCGCAGGAAAAATTGTTTTCTTCGTTAATGATTCCATTGATTACTTTGTTAATAGTTTATCGGTTACAAAGATCCGGTCTTTTTATAAGATCCGGTTACAACGAAAATCAAATAAAAATAAACAAAGATTAAATCGCGAGATCCTGTTTTGCGGTCTCTCGCTTTTGTGGGTTCTTTGCTTGCGCCGGGGTTAATCCGTGGATCACCGCGCGATCTTGATCCGGTCGGATCTACACGGTATAGCGGGTGTTATTCCACGAAGGAAATAACAGTCGAGGGGATTATTTCACCAAGGAAATAATAGCCCGTAGTTATCGAAATCGACCAAGCGAAATCGAGACTCTTCTCGGGATCAAAGGCCAAGCTTTGATCCGGAGGGAAACCGTGTAGATCTCAGATCTGATCTCTCTCGAACTCCTGCCTTATTTGGCGTGGATGATCGCCAAGAACCAGATCTAGAAGTTACCAAGCGAAATCGAGACTCTTCTCGGGATCAAAGGCCAAGCTTTGATCCGGAGGGAAACCGTGTAGATCTCAGATCTGATCTCTCTCGAACTCTTACCTTATTTGGCGTGGATGATCGCCAAGAACCAGATCTGGAAGTTGAGTCTTCAAAGCTCCGAAAGTTCAAGTCCAAATCTCAATCCGGCAGAGTTACGGCTCCAAAATTCCAACCTTTAAAAAATGAGCCCTTAAGTCCTATTTATAGACACTCAGAACTGTGCCCGGGCACAGGTGGCCGAGGCACCGAGCCACCAAGAGGTGGCTTGGCTTTGGCCGAGCCACCTACGAGTTGCTCGGTTTTTTGGCCGAGACCTCCAGGTGTTTGTTTCTTCGCCCATTTTTTAGTTTCGCGGTTTATCCGAACTTCATTGTTGATCTGGACTCTGATTTGGCAGTATCTAATAAGTATTAATTCTAACCTGAGAAATCAGCCATTATTTCGCTTGTTCTTGTCCAAGTAGATCTGAAACTCCTGAAACTAATTCTCTTTTCCCCCCCAGTATTATGGAGCAAGTTCATTTCATGTACAACTGATTTTTTTTCTTTTTCCCCCTCTTCTCTTTGACCCCCTTCTTTGCCTGAGCATTTATGTCTTTCACCATTACAGGAATTCCATGGGAGGGTAAGTGGTGTAAAGGTGGATCAAGTAGACACGACTGGTGCTGGTGATGCTTTTGTTGCCGGAATATTATCTCAGTTAGCTGCTGATATTTCCTTGCTTCAGGTAAACTTTCATGGATTCTTGCAAACAAGTTTATAGCAATGTTTTGCTATTGTACAATTCTTTTCTTAAGATCTTTGAAATTTGCAATATCTGTTTTCTGTATTCTTCATGATAATAGTTGAAGTTCACAACAAAAAATCTCTGACATATTTGTCCTGTTCAGAATACTTAATTTAGTTAGTAGGTTGAAGCAGAGATGTCTGGGGGCTTTACCAACTGATATATATTTAGCTTCGTATACATCTCATGTGTTGGGGAGAAATTGGGCACAATCTGGAGTTAATGGGCCTTAGGCAGAAGCTATGAATTAATTTTAAATCAAAAGCTATAGTTGTTAGGTATTGACCCAAACTCCTATTTAAACTCATCGTTCCTTCTTATCTTATTTGATGTGTGACTGTATCACATATTAATCACCCCAACACCTCCCCTTTAATTTGCGAGTACAGTTCAATTCAACTATAATTTAATCTTCTACGGGATTCACTAACTTTTGTATTATTTCACTCTTGGTTAAACCAATTTACTTATTCTTGTATCACTTTACTCGTAGGCTAACTAGACCATGCATTCAGCACATGGTTATCAAACATCCATATGATCTTCACTTCACTCATGGTGGTTAACTAGACTATATCACTCCTACGAGCATCTGTTGGCTCCCGACACATTCGGGCTTCACATTGGACTTCATCTTTTCTCTTTTTTCCCCATTCTCTCTCTTTTTTGTAAAATTACTTGGACCATGACCTTAGCTCTGATACCATGTAATCAAAAATTAACTAGAGAGGATGATTTGTCCCTCTACTCACAAGTCTTATTAATAGTATTAGGATTACAAATAATTTGACTCTAATCAATGTGGGGCTAAACTAAATATAGGAAACTAACTAAATACAGGAAAGCTCAACATCACGCATGCTAAATGACCATCACTAAACAGGATAGTGCTATTGATGAATTTCTAGCTACATATGCTTTATTTAGGGCATGAATATTCTCAAGTATGCTTTGCTGGTTTTACTGCACCAGCTGACAGTATAATATCACATAAATGTCTTCCTCGACTGACACAACTAAGACAAACCTATAAAAGTATGTTACAGAAAATCGGGCCCGGGTCCTGGTTTGGTCAGGCCTTTTGCTTGGCCCGACCCTAGATTTTCAGGCTGACCCAAATGGACACTCCTAGAATTATGTGGCAATGACTTAAAGTTTCCATGTTTTTACTTGAAAAAAATACTAAATTGCCATGTAAGTTGATGGCAAAAAGTTTTTTCAGCTGAGTTTCAGGAGAAAAAGTCCTGATAAAATAAAGGTTTTTTCTTTCATAGAAACCCCCTTTAAAATATGGTCAGCTTTTAGAAATCACATTTTATTTTCAATTTATACATAAACTACCTTAAAGTGCTTTTTGTTGCAATCAACCACCTGGACCTACTTTTTAGATAAATTTTTTGATAACCCCACCTAACCTTAATTAAGGACTATCTCTCTAATATAATTGGTATATGACAACTAATAGTTACAGGAATACTGAAAAAACATGACTTCAAAGTAGGTCTAAGTGGTTGATTGCAAAAGAAAAAAACTTTAAAGATGGTTTATGTATAAATAGAAAACCAGAGGTGGTTTCTATAGAATGACTATATTTTAAAGGTTGTTTCTACGAAATAACCTAAAATAAAAAGTTTAGAGGATACAAGTGGTCACCAATGTAGGGATTTGTTTTCAATTTACCCAAGTGATTTGCAGCGAACTTGTTGACACATGTACTCATTAATTTACGTGTGAGGCATGGTAAATATTTGCTGCAAGTTATGCTCTGGCTTGTTCTATGTTGTAGACTGATCTTCTCTTGTTCAATGCCAAAACAGGATGAAGGTCGACTTAGAGATGCTCTCAAGTTTGCAAATGCATGTGGAGCATTGACAGTAATGGGGAGAGGAGCTATCCCAGCTTTGCCAACTAGACAAGCCGTGCTCGATGCTTTGGTTAATATAGTTGTTTAGATGAGCTGATGTTGCATTCTATTATTTTTCTTTGAGATTTCTGCACGATTGAACTGTTGCAAGTAATTTCTTGTTTTTTGTTTCTCGATGAAAGATAAAATTGTGTATTAAGGACCGTAAAATTATTGACACTGCTAGAGATCCCACCTGCTTTTGTGGTTGTGATAAAAGATTGTGGGTAATCAAAGGACAAACAACTAAAATAGACGTACAACTAAAATATCTTCATCAGGGCCAAAAAGAATAGGTAAATGGAGGGCGTGTGATTAGGGGTGACAATTTATGACCCGACCCATCAACCCGACCTGATCTGTTTATAATGGATATGGGTCGAATTATATGGGTTGGGTCATAAACGGGTCAACCCAAATTTACACATTTATTAAACGGGTCAATTCGGGTTAACCCGACTGACCCGTATATCACAAACCACCGAATAAGAAGTGAAGAACTAGAACCCGGCTGACTCTTTCAGAAACCCCAGAGCTTGATTCTGTGGTGGCGAACGGCGGCGAACGAGGGCAATGAGCGATGGGGGCAAGTGACGACGAGTGACTGCGAGCGATAGGGAGCAGCGAGCGACGGTGAGACCTCGAACACGGTGCTTCAAAAGGGGCGGGCCGCGTCTCCTCACCTTCGTCAGACCAAGAGCTCTGAGTGCTTGATCAGTGACGAGACCGCCTCCATCGTTTTCACCGATAGAAATGAGCAAGGTGAGTGATTTGGATGAAATTTTTATTTGGATGATTTGTTTTGGTAAAAGTAGGATGACGTGTTACTTCGAGCGATTTGGATGAAATTATTTTTTGCTTCCAAATGTTTTTTTTTTGCTAGCATATATTTACTATTCGTCTTATGAGCTTGTATCATTTTTCTTTTTCTCTTTGTTGCCTTTCTGTTAGATGATGCTCATCATTGCTCCAAGGCGTTGGAGATGTTGAAAACTACGACATATGTGTCAACCAAACAATCTGCAAATCACATTGAACCCTGAAAACTAAAAACAGGTCATTTGGGTTATATGGATCGGGTCGGCTAACCCGTTTAATAAACGGGTCGAATCATATTGACCCATTTATTAAATGGGCCGGGTCGGGTCACACTTATACGGGTCGAGTCATAATTGACCCGACCTAACCCAACCCGACCCGTTTGCCACCCCGGGGGTGTGATTGCGACGAAATTTCTTCGTATATGAAATTTGTATCTTTCTGTTTCTCTGTATCTTTATCCATCTAATTTCTATACATATTGTGTAATTTGGTACTGGAGACAGAAAAAGTAAATGTTGTGATATAACCTTTTCCTGTGATTGGTTTTATGGAGGACTTTTGAACGACAGTCACAATTTTTGGAAAGAAGAAGGAAGCAATTACTAGGAGTTTGAACCATTTTGGTTATAAAATGGCAGTTCCGGATTTTTTTGGTTGAGATCATGGGT